ATATGGCAGCTTGACTTCGCCGTTGGCGGGGTCGGGATGCCTTAAAGATGAACTTCGAGTGCAGGTATTGCGCAGGTGAGGTCTCGTAAACCCTCCTGCGCGGGGGCTTAGCAGACCCTTGGCCCGCTGTCCCTGCGAGAAAGCACCACAGACACTGCAAATCACTACTCTGTGAATGTAGTTGTCACTGGTGAGGTGCATGTTGTGTCCCCGAGACTTGGCCATGCATCGCAGAGAGCACAGGCTCATGACCCGTGCACGGCGTGGCGTGAGTGGGGGAGAAGGGTCGGTTGCGCCTGTAGCAGACCGAACAATCTAACCTGCTTTGGTGGATAATTCTAGATTGGTGCATCGATAAGAGTGGCCTGGAGTCATTGAGGCTTGTGCCCAAGCTCTGCAGGGAGCCGCTAGGGGGAGGAGGAGGGGAACAGAGTAAGAAGGTGGAACCCTACCCTGAGCCGCAATTTCGCAGGACCTCCGCAATGAAGGCGTAGTTGGCGGACCTACCCTCCCCAGTCCCTCCTCTGGCACGGCGTCAGATTTTGCCACCCGTGCCCTGCTTGCTCGGAGTTGGGTAGCAGTCCAACGCTATGGCTACAACTTTGGGATGCGTCTGGGGAGCGCTAGTTCTAGATGACAACCAAGGGCAGTGCATGATTATTGCTCCAAGCTTGGCCGCTGCATCGACCTACTCATTACCAATGGCATTCACCCTCTCAGTAGACCCTTCAGAACAACTTTGTGTGTCTACATAGGCAGGCACCTCAGTACAAGGCACCTTGCCCGAGGATGCACTATGATTCTAAGCTTGAGGCATGAGGCCTGCATAGAAAGAGCACATGTACAAAAGGCCCCCCAAAGGTGTGCTATGGAGAGACCTACTACGCCGATGTAGTCAGCTCTGGCTTCGGTCGCTCTGGGGGGGGGTGGGGGCGGAAGTGACGGCAGCTAGAACCGCTACGTTGTCGGCAGTAATGTTGGTTTGGGCCAGCAGGCTTCCCACGCGGCCACACATCTTGGCGGTTATTTCCCTACTGTCCGACAGCCTAGCGGGTCCCCAACCTGATCGATGGAAGTTAAAGCGCTTGTCTTCAAAAGCATCAGGTCACTCAACAAAACGCCTGCCAGGGCGCCTTGAGGAGGAGAGCCATCAAGAGACCACCAATCATATTCTGCGTGACCAATGCCAGCCGGTGGCAAGGTGACGAAATCTGGATCGGTTTGGGCACCCAGCAACATAATCTTAATAGTTCCGGGATGAGTGAGAACATTACAGAACATCTAACGAGATACACTCATCACGAACATGTTGAGTAAATGGGCAGTGCCATATAGGATGATGCAAGGCGCCACTATGATGCCCGCATGAAAACGTACACGTTGACATCATACACATGCGTCTGGAGATGGTGCCGGGTTTAGAAACAGTGGCACACGAAAGTTCGAATGAGAGTCTTGTGTTGCCCCGATAGTGTTGGGGAGAAAAGGAGGAATGAACCATTACCACGTCCAGTTCGTCCGTCCTGGGATGCCTCGCTTGACCGAAGCCTGAGATTGCATGTTTTGTTCCAAGCCGTCTGAACTAAAACCTGGGTCACTCTAGGCGGGGTATCCGTGCAGGCATAGACAACACCAGTGTCGGCTTCCACCTTGAAAGGAGACATGAAGCGCCACCCGACTCGTCGGATACTCATATTTGCTGCACTTGCTGGACCGCTGACCCCCTCAAGAACGGCTCGAAATAACCTCCCCAGTTGTGCTTGAGGGTGTAAGCTTCCAAAGCGCGGCCCATTGCAGAGCAGGAGCCAAATCTGGCTTCCAAGGCGGGCCCCCAGGGACAGTCGACGGAACGCTCCTGGACTGGCTCTTGCTTGCGCATCCTCGCGGATGGATGCCGCGTCCGGGTTGCTGTCAGTCCTTGGGGGAGTCCTGCATGACACCTCGGGTCCACGGCATCCCGCGGACTGCAATCCCGGAGGGGGTGTTCCGCAGGAGGAGGAGGAGGAGGAGGAGGAGGAAGAAGAAGAAGAGCAGGAGGAGGAGGAGGAGGAGGAGGAGGAGGAACACCTTGTCGTTTGAGAGCTCTGACGCTGCGGCCCTTCTTCTTTCAGGGGCTTACAGAAGCGCCCCTGCCCTGGTCTGCGAGGCGCTGTGCGCGGAACCTCCTGTGGGCTGACAGGGCAAGCCCTGCGTGCTGCGCGGCGTCCTGGCGTCCTCTAGGCTTTGCGGGTGCCCAGGAGGTTCACAGACCACGCACTTGTGACCCAGGGGTAGGGCCGCTGTCTCATTCTCCATTCTTTAGTTTCTGAAAACCGCAGGTCCCCTCTCGATGAGTCCCGAAAGCATCCCTCTCCACCGCGGAAAGCCCCCCCTTGAACGACGAGCGCCCGGTGGGTTGGCCATGCAGGCACGACCCCCTTGTTGCAAAGGATGCGCCCTCCATCCTCTTTCAGAATACAAGCCCACAGAGGGTTGATGATAATATTAAGTCGGACCTGTCCCTCTACAGGAGGAACATTCAAAAATAGTAACGATGGTCTGGGGACGATTTTTTCTACTATGTTTGACAATTTCGATGCATGTTTCCACTATTATATTTCCCCCTGTACGGGGACACGCTCGACTTATGGATAACATTCAAGGCGGAAGAGGATCCTCCCTCCATCCGTGCAAGCGTTGCACATGCCCAAGGTTCTGGTCGTGCAAGTTGTGGACGTGTCAGGGGCGAGCCGCGAGAGCCCCTATGTGAACAGAAAAAACCGCATCTTTTCGTGCGAATGTTGAACACTGGGACTTCGGGACCTAGATTGTGTAAGCGACCAACCCTCCACCCTCGCAACTGGATCGGAGCCTTTTTGGGGATCCCCGAGGCGGGACGAGACAAGTGTGGAGACTATCGTGGTATAGTCGGCGCCACCTGCGTAGGGATGGGGCGATGCCCCCCTCGAACGGGGCTTGGGACCTCCAGGGAGGATCAGCTCACGACGCCAGGTCGGGACAGCACGGCGGCGGCGTTGGAGCCCCCCCCGCACACAAAAACACACACAAACACAGACACACAAACACAGACACACACACACACACAGACAGAGACGCACAGAGACACATAGAGACACACAGAGACACACAGAGACACACACAGACAGACAGAGACACACAGCGACACACAGAGACACACTGAGACACACAGAGACACACAGAGACACAGAGACACACACAGAGACACACACACAAAGACACACACACACACGGAGACACACTGGGACACACAGAGACACACAGAGACGCACAGAGACACACAGAGACGCACAGGGACACACAGAGACGCAGACACACAGACACACACACAGATGCACAGACACACAGACACAGATACACAGCGACACGGAAACGCAGACACGCAGACACGCAGACATGCGGACACGCACACACGCACACACACACACACACACACACACACACGCGCACGCACGCACACACGCACACATGCACACACGCACACCCGCACACGCACGCACACCCGCACACAGGCATACATGCACACACGCACACGCGCACGCACGCAGCGCACGCAGCGCACGCACACACGCACGCACGCACACACGCACACGCACGCACACACGCACGCGCACGCACACACGCACACGCACGCACACGCACACACACACATACATGCACACACGCACACGCACACGCACGCAGCGCACGCAGCGCACGCGGCGCACGCAGGCACCCGCGCACGCGCGCGCACGCGCGCACGCGCACGCACCTACACGCACACGCACACGCACACGCACGCACACGCGCGCAAACGAACACTCACGCGCACGCACGCACGCACACGCACGCACACGCACGCACACGCACGCACACGCACGCACACGCAAGCACACGCACGCACACGCACGCACACGCGAGCGCAAGCACACGCACGCACGCACACGCACGCACACGAGCGCGCACGCACACGCACGCACACGCACGCACACGCACGCAGAAGCACGCACATGCACACGCACGCACACGCACGCGCATGCACACGCACGCACACACACCACACTCACCACACATACAACACACACAAGACACAACACGCACAACACACAATACACAACACGCACAGCACACAAGACACGACCCACACACACACACAACACACATACACACACGCACGCACGCACGCACGCACACGTACTCACACACGCACGCACCCACAGGCACACACAACACACGACACACAACATACAGCACACACACAACACACAACCCACACAGCACACACAGAGGACACACACAAACACACACACACACAACACACACCACACACAACGCACACACACATACTCACAACGCACACACCACAACACACAACACACACAACTCACACAGCACAGCACACACAGCAAACACAAAAAAAAACACGACACACACCACACATAACACACAAACAACACAACACGCAGTACACAACATACACACACCACGACTCTTCAAGCCCTCGGCGCGCGAATGGGGAGTCGGAGGAGGGAAGAAGATGACGAGGATAGGCAGGAGGAGGAGGACGAGGAAGAAGAGGGAGGGGGAGGAGGAAGAAACGGAGACGGGGAAGGAAGAGGAAAGCGGATTGTATGCACAGGCGGTTGGGCAGAGAGGCAGGAGAGCGAGATAGAGAGAGGGGGCGGGCGGCGGGGGCGGGGGCGGATGTCGTGGGAATGGTCGTCGAGGCGGTGGTCGTGGAGGTCGCGGTCGTCGTGGCGGTGGTCGCGGTGGTGGTGGTGATGGTGGTCGTGGTTGTGAGTTACCGCTTTCTCTCGTGTTCTCACTCTTTCTTCTCTCTCTCTTTTTCGTTAGTTTTGTTTGTTGTTTGTTTCTATCTCTCTCTCTCTCTCTCCCACCCGCTCTACGTACTGATTTCTTCATTTGTCTTTCTCCGTCCATTACATCCTTCTTTCTCTCGCCCCATGTCATTTCTCTCCTCCCCTTCTCCCTCGTTCGCGCAGGAGTCCTATCCGACATGCAACTGCGCATGCTGCTCGTTCCAGCACGAGAATCGGGGCAAGGACGCAGGTGCTGCTTGTCTCCCGATCTACTACGGCCAGGACAGACTGGACATAAAGCGCACTCGCAGATGACTGGGTGGGTGTGTGTGTTGCGTTTTCGCGAACCCTGCTTCCGTGAAAACCATGCAAATGTTTGAAACGAATGTGCGCCGCGCCAAGGCGAGAGCCACATGTTGAAAAGGAGCCACCCCCCAATCCGAGAAACCCTTACAATTGTTTGCAGCGAGTGTGCGCCGCGCTAAAGCGAGAGTCACATGTTGAAATCGACCCGCCCTCAATCCGTGAAGCTCTTGTATTTTGCGCTAATGTGAGAGCCACGTTTTGAAAACCGCCCGCCCTCCATCTGTGAAACTGTTGCCACTTTGAAGCTTCAGAGTCAGAAGCGGTGAGGAAGTCTCAGACGAAACGCCCGGTTCGCCCTAATGACTGGCCTCGGGGTGCGACAGGGAGAAATTGTTGATTCGGGGTGCGACAGGGAGAAATTATTTTTCAGGAGAAGGGATAGAGGAAGAGGAAAAGAAGAAGGAGCAGCAACCGCAGTAAGAAGTGGCACCAGGAGGATCGGCTACATGCGGCGATTTTGGTGTTCGAGCGATCTGGCCGAGCGACGCAACAGTAATCCTCCTCCTTCCTCGTCTTCCTTCCCCTCGCTGTCCTTTCGCTCCTCCTATTCTTCCTCCCCCGTTCAGGGCTGTACGGTGGGTCGGGCGAAGCTGCCCAGGGGAGGTTTGAGCAAGGCTGGTCGGTCGTTGCACCGAGGGGTTCCCCCCCCCCGGCGGGTGCGGGTCGGGCGTTACAGGCTTTGGGAGACGGCACCAGGATGCAGGATGCGCTTGAACCTCGATCAACGCTACAGCCAACGTGTCATAGAGCTTTCTTGCTGGCCTTGTTGCAAATCTGCCCACTTGAACCGTAGATCCTCTACCCATTATCAAGGACCTGGAGACTTGCTCCTCCTCCTCCTCCTCCTCCTCCTCGACCTGCACCTCCTCCACACCGTCGTACCGTTCCTCATTTTTCTCGTTCCTCCTCCGCCTCCTCTCCGCCGAAGCACTTCGCCAACTCTTCTGTTCCCGCCGACCGCCTTCCACTAGCTCTTGGGAGACCACAGGTTGCTTCCGTCTGACTCCTGTGTTCCCGCTCCACCTTTCGGCACGAGCAGCCCTCAACAGTGGCCAGCTCGGGGTCCTCTGGAGGCATCTTGGCCGCTGCGGGGTTCTCCGGGAATCTGTTTGGAAGCCTTTTCAGGCCCCCCTGAGGCTCTCCTCTGAGGTTGCATTCCCAAGATCCGGTGGGCTCCTGAATCAGAATTGCTGCATCTCTTCGCCCACGTTCTCCTCCACGTCCTCCTCGTCCTCCTCCTCCTCCTCCTCCTCCTCCTCCTCCTCATCCTCCTCCTCCTCCTCCTCCTCCTCCTCCTAAGTAGCCGCTGGTGGGCGATTGCATCGCAGCCGAGAGCCTTCGGATGTCTGCTTGTCCCCGCTCCCTTGTTCGTCCTCCCCCTCTCGTGGCCCTCGGCCCCTCGGCTTGCCCGTCGGTCCCCTGTCGGCCCCCCTTGGGTAACGGTCATTCATTGATTCATTCCTCCTCCTCCTTTTCCTCCTCCTCCTCCTCCTCCTCCTCCTCTTCCTTTGCCATGTTATTTTTAACTCGCTTCGTGGTTCGCCCTGTCTTCTCCGGTTCACTTCTTTATTGCCGATGAACCTCTGACCTGCGCGGTTTCTTGTTCGCTTATTTCTTTGGCTGATGCTCTCTTGGAATCGGTGAGGGCCTTCTGGCGGCCACGCTGGACGCCATAGGTCAAATGATCTGGGCTGCCAATCCCTTCCCCCCACTGGATCCAGACAATCGCGCCTCAAGGCATATAGCGCAGCTGTTGGCGTGCCCTCTGGGGGGGTCACTGGGTCCTCGTGGGCTCATCGTGCGTCCTCGGATGCCCAGCTGAAGCGAAACGACGAGAAGCATACATCTTGGGGTACCATCTCGGGGCCGAATCGGGACCATGTTGGAAGTTACATTTAGCTATATTGCACATTATTTGATGTACTCGTGCTCTCTGGGGCCATGTGGGGGCCATCTGCGTAGAGCATTAAACGCTCTAATCTCTTGCGCCCCCCAGCCTGTACTCCCAGGGCTGTCCTGGACGAGATGATATGTGAGGATTACCTCGTCAAAACCCGTCTTGGTGTTTTTAGGGCAAGAATGGAGGAGATCCACTTGAGGGCAAGAATGTGGTGGGATTGCGAGGCTTGGGACATGGAGAGCCCCCTTCTGTCCTTCCTCCTGCGCGCGCCACAAGGCCCCAGCGCGGCCGGCGGGACTGGCCGCATCTTTGGCCCGGACCGAGGGCCAGGAGAGAGCGCCCGAGCGGGCCGCAGGAGTTCCTGCACGAGGGCTTCGCCGACTGCCAGCGCGTTGTCGGCGGGCACGGCATGTTCTGTGACCGGCCCAGCCGCTCCTGCCGTGCGGGGAGACGCCGTCCTCGGCCCTGACGTCGTGGCACTTCTTGCATTCCCCCCCCGCCTGCTCGCCCCTTCTCCCCATCTTCTTCAGGAGGAGAAAGAACACACAGACACAATGAATCGTCGATTCCCCAGAAAATATTGGAAAACATGGGCAGTGGGGGGGAAGACAGAACCCCCGAAAATATAGGAGAATATGGAGAATCCTTTTGTTTGTGTGCATTTGTTTGTGTGTGTCCTGGGGCCCCTTCACTTCTGCTCGCAGCGGGCCACGAGGGCCTCCAGACGACCCGGCGCGGCCGATGCAGCGCCAGAGGGGCCGACGAGGACCTCTGGCGTCGGGCCCCGTTGTCTGCAGCAGGCGGGGGCACGGCTCGGCAAGGAGCATGCAGGTCGCCTCGCACGCCGAGGAGGACGGCAGCCGCCCTCCTCCCGTCTGCCGCCCTCTCCCCCCTCCCCCAACCCCCTCCCCCAATTTCTCTCCCCCACCACACCCCCTGCCTCCTCACTACTCCTACCTCCTCCTCCGCCTTCCTTCCATCCTCTCCTCCCTGTACCTTCTCCTACTAATGCTCCTCCTACATGTCCCCTCACTCTCCCACTCCTCCCTGATCTCATCCTCCTCCCTCCCATCCTCCTATCTCCTCTCCTCCTCTCTCCTCCTCCTCTCCTCCTCCTCCTCCTCCCCTTCCCCACCCCCCCCTCCTCCTCCCCCCCCTCCTCCTCCTCCCCTTCCTCCTCCTCATCTCCCCCCTCCTCTCCTCCTCCTCCTCCTCACGCCTCTCCAGGGGGGAGAGAGGGAGGGCGGCTGGGGCTAGGCAAGGGGCCCGGGCGGCCGACCCACCCTCCTCGTCCTCTTCATCCGCCTCTTTTCTGCGTTGGGTTCCTCCTCCCCCTCCTCCTCCTTCTCCCCTTCGAGGTCACCCGCGGGGGCGCGGGCGCCAATATGATTGCCCCTTGCGCGTCGCGTTCCGGGCCAGAGCGGTGGCCCTTCTCCAAGGGGGCGGCGCGAGGGCGCGAAGACAATCGCGGGGAGCGATGCGCGAGGTTGGGTGACCTACGGTCTGGGTCGATTAGGAGGTCGACGCTGCCAAATCGAGGGCACCCTCGTGTCCTGTGTCTCGCGACCCGTGCCTTCCACACTCCCATGGCAACGTGGCCCTCGGAAGAGCCTGTTGCCCCCTCGCGTGCCCTCTCCAGTCAGCCTCGACTGCAGGTCTCGCACATCGGAGCTGCTCCCGTGCGCAGACCTCGGCACACCTGCACAAGAAGACAGTGCCCGATGTCCGCGCGGACCTCCGAGCCTTGATGCTTCTTCGGATGTCGATCCGTCCATCGGCGGCGCTCCAAGGGGGAGAGAGCAGAGAGGGTGGGGCCTTCTCAGAAGCCCGAGAATTCGAGCAGGGGGGCGACTGCAGAGTTGATTTGCTCCACACTGGATTTGCTCGTCGAGTCTGCGAACAATGCGCACCGTGCTCACATGTAAATACGAACCTTGAGACGTATGTTTGCACATTCGACGAGAAGATCAATTGTGGGGTAAATCAATGTTGTAGATGCTGATGTTGATGATGATGATGATGATGCTGATGATGGTGATGATGAAGATGATGATGATGGTGATGATGATGATGATGATGATGCTGATGATGATGATGATTATGATGATGACTATGCTGCTGATGATGCTGATGCTGATGCTGATGCTGTTGCTGCTGGTGATGATGATGATGATGATGATGATGATGATAATGATGATGATGATGATGATAATGAAGAGGATTATGATGATGGTGATGATGATGATGCTGATGATGATAATTATTATTATGTTTCTGCTGCTACTGCTGCTGCTGCTGAGGAGGAGAAGGAGGAGGAGGACGAGAGGGGGGAAGAGTGGGAAGGAAGGGAGAGGAGGAGGAGGAGGAGGAGGAGGAGGAGGAGCCTCCAGCCCTTGAGAAGCTTTCTGCCCTTGGGAAGCTTCCTGGCCTTCCCGAAGAGCCTCGTCGCCGCCTTTGATAGAGCAGGCGCCGCCCCCCTCTGCGCCTCTCCCGCCCCCAGGAGAACGCATCCCCTGTTGTTTTAGGCTTCGGGGAAGCGTAGCACTCGGAAGGGGGAAAACAAAACACGCAGGCACAATGGATCGTTGATTCCCCGGAAAATATGGGAAACTATGGGAAGGGGTGGGGAGACGAGAGCCTGGGATATATATATATATATATATATATATATGTGTGGGGAAGTGTGGGGAATCCTGCTTTCTGTGGCTATCGCTGTGTGTGGTGTATGTGTTTGTGACTGAATGTGTGTGTGAATGTGTGTGTGTGTTGGGTGTGTGTGTGTGTCAATGTGTGTG